CGTTCGCTCTCTCTCTCTCTCTCTCTCTCGTCGGAATCCAGCTCCGCTACCCCCGCCATCGCGCCTCCGCCCCTCCACGACGATCAATGCTTGGTGAAAAGGCCCGATGCGCGCGCCCTCGCCTCGAATCGCCTAATATCTGTTCGATTTCCCTCAACTGTTGAGTCTACCGGAATTTCCTGGCGTTGCGCTCCCCGCTCCTTGTCACCCCTCCACGCCCCCTTCGCTCGGCGAAGCCGCCAGCGATCGGAAACCCTTTTGGACACCGTTCAACCCCCGATGCCTTAAGAACGACCAACAGGTAAGAGGGCCGAAACAAACCGGGGACAACCGGGATTCCCCGGTATTATCTCTTGCCTCTATGGCCCGTTTCGTCCACCGCGAAACGCGCGCGGGGTAAACACTCGAGCGGGAGTGTGCGCAAATCGCGGTACGGGGTGAGAAATGTAGCAGCGCCGTCCTGTTCGTCGTGTTCCAAAGATGGTGGGTTTTGGACCAGGTATCACCGGGGATGCGAGAGATGTTTAAGGAATGAACGATTGAATGTCTGATAGCGGAGTCGATGAGGGAATGGTTTGATGATTAGGGAAGAGTCAGATGTAAGCGGAGAAGGATAATTAAGTTCGTTTTGGAACTGTCAATCGATACTGCGAGGGAGATCTACGTTCGATCATGGGGATGGAAGGGAGAATGTGATTTGCTTCGCCGCGGTCCGGTGGGCGTGGAAGCCGAATTAAAGGAGGGAATTCGAAATTTCGATTGACCTAATTTTTTAATGGCAACCCCGCGAAGAAAGCAACATATGCGAGGCGAGGGGTCGCGTGTACGCAAAGTGCAGCTGCACGCAACGCAAACGCGACGTTACCGAGACGAGTTGGCGCCAAGTCACGCAACACAGACCGCCCTTTCTTTCCGGAATTCTTGGAGAACCACCTTCGAGGTTCGCGAAGAAATATTCGAACTCATTTTCTCGTAGACGGTTTGGAATCTCTGTCGACTGGGGTTCCGAAAGAGGAAACATCGATGAACGTTCTATCGGTTGGCGTCGGAAGGAGCAAGCACTCAGCGAGCTCCTCGCGAACGTGCCATCCCTCTGCACAACACAGTGAATGAGCACTTGCCATTCATCATTCCTGGAGGTCAGCCAGTTTCAACTATGCACGCCGACCAAGGTTCCGGAGTCCGTGAAAAGGCGGGACGAGCGTACGCTCCGGTTGGCCGACGAGTATTCGATTTCGTTACCGAACCGCCGCTCATATCGATCGGCCCACGGACTTGCGGTTTTTCGGCTACCCCTTTCCAAGATCAACGGAAAGAGTAGTTGCATAATTATCGCGTACAACTAGTCCCGTAGTATCCGTCAGCCCTATCGAATCTCGTTTCATCGTTCTTGCAATCCCAATTCAAAAGGAACGAACAGAACTCAAAGGATTCAAGGTCCAGCGACCTCGATCGTTTACAGAATTCGAAGATCAATGCGCAGGTCTTGGGTGAACCCGACTGAGCTATCTATCCCTCGACTTGTCACCGTAACCCCGTAGCGATTACGATGCATAGAAACAGCATCGATGGATCCCCTATATGCTTTAAGATCGTCGTCTAGCGGATACCGTCAAGCCCTATGAAGGTGTACTTAAGGGTAGCGCGTACGAAACGTAGGCATTGCAAGGGTGATAACAAAACAGGGTGGGGTGGGTGTGCTGGTGCGCCTACCTTCGCAGATGTACCCCTGCTGTATGAGGCCCCACAGCATGTCGGTGCAGCTATGGCAGTACGTCGGCTTGTGAAACGTCTTCTTGCTGAAGCTGTGCCCATGGCTGGCTGGAGTCTCAGCTGAGACCGACGCCATGTTCCCCGTTCCACCGCGGCACCGCTCACGCCAGAATTTCACCGTGAAGCTACACAGGGCGCGCCGCGCGTCGATGACAACATAATTACACGGCAGCCACTACGTGATCTCGAAACCGTACGCGTACATAATTGCGTAGCTGCAGCTGCGACCGCGGCTCGCTGCTCGGGTCCCTCGCGTCGTACCGTCGTCCTCGTCGCCGTGTAACGTGCCTAACACGCATTATTCCCGAAGCTGCGCCCCCAGGACCGACGACGACCGACCGACGACCGGCACGGCGGCACCGTCTGACGAACAATCGTGCTCGCGTTTAATCGTACGCCAGTCACCAGTCACCACTGTGTCGCGGCTAACCATCACACCACCGTTGATCATCGGCCGCCGATGCTACTGCCGCTGCCGCTGCCGCTGCCGCTGCCGCTGTCGCTGCTACCGCCTTCGTCTCCGCCTCCTTCGGGAGCTTTACTCGCGGGTACGACGGCGATGCGGGTGTCGCGTTCGCGCATCCGAGCCACGGAACGGGCGCCGAGTGGTCGCACTGACATCAGCCCCTTTCGTCACCACCGACGCACCAGTGCCGGAATCATCCGCGGGACAACGCTGGGGTTTCACACGACGGAGCCCTCCTCCCACTCTCTCTCGCAATCCACCACCACCTCTCACCCTCTTCTCTACTATTCTTAATTATCTTCCTTCCTCTTAACGATCCTCCGGCAAACTACTTCGAGATCCCTAGCTCCTTCCTCTCCTATTCGATACCCCCTCTTCCTACTCTGTCTTTTTCGTTCGATTTTTCACCGGACGTACTCGCACCTATCCGTACAGGAGGACACGGTGTCAGGTCAAGTTACTCGAAACTTCCCAATCAACTGCGCGCACATATCCTCCGGTTTGCTTATCGCAATGGGTAACATGATTCTTCTTCGAATGTTCTTGGTCGTTTCTATTAAGGTATCACTTTTCGATGACTACAGAAAAAGATACAATTACATTTCTCGTTTCTTTGGGTGGTCGTGAAAAGATTCACGGCAATGACCAGGGCACCACGGCGCCGTAGTTCGGTACCATCGCTTCCGTCAGCGACGTCGGGACGGTGCGCGTCGCTTGCCGACTTCTTGTAGTCTCGGAGCGCCCAGTTCGAGCGTGACGACGGCGCCGCTCCACCCCGCTGGAAACTCTCGCCTTCCTCGCGCGAGGAACCTCCGGCCGCGTTTCGCACACGCACTTCCGTGTTTCGGAACCAGCCTTTCGTTTTTCGGATTTCACCCGGCCAGTCGCCCGGGGACCAGCCTTTTTTTCACGTGAGGACGTGGAGAGGATCCACGCATGTCGGCGCGCGACTGCGAGAACAATTTCGGGGGGGAAACACGGCGCAGCAGCTGCCTGCAACGGCTTCGAGGTCGCTTTCGACTCGCCTCGTCGACGTCAAAGCGACGACCAAAGCCGTCGGCGTTGCCCGTCCGCCCGTGCGCGTATCAACGCGTCTCTGCGGCGACGCGACGACGCTTCTCGACGCGCAACTCGACGCGCGTGCAGCCATTTCGCGACGAATCGCTCAACGGACAACCTTCTTTCGTCCTCTCACGAATTTCCTTGGCTCCACGGCTTTTCCATGAGATTCTCAGTCCTTGTATATAAGTACCTGGTTCCTCTTGGAATCGCCGGACCGACCACGCTAATGGCGGCTGAAGTCCGAGGTTTTTTTTAAATTTGGACGCGGCTCGATCGATATTTCTAGCTTTCACCCTTTTATGCTTGAAAAGTAATTCAAGATTACGGGGGAAGATTCCTCGACTGAACGTCCGGTCTCTCGGAATTGTAATTACTAGGGAATTAGGTTCATAGGGTAAATCCACACTGGCGATCGCGAATGGAGTTCACCTAAATTATTTTTCGATAAAACGGTTAAGAATTGTTTCCTTTGGCTGGAATTGGCGGACTAAGTCCTGGAAATTACAAAATGGACTTAGATGTCACTGAATTAAATAATGCCAATGTTTGTCGTAGCTTCGGTGAATTATGAACTTTGTATTAGAGGACTGAATATTTTGTTAAATATGTAAAGGAAAGGTCATAGAAAATGTGACATGTGATGTATTAATGGGTACGAAAATGAGGAGCATGGTAAAAATATTGTTTTCGTTGTGAGTTGCTAGCTGTTAGTATTTTATATGAAAAAAAGATTACTTATACTATTATAAATGCCACAACTATTTAAGCTTAAAATTTCAACAGTATCTATTTTTTTTATCAAAATAATTATGAGCCTCCGATAAAAAAGTATGTAACGTTCGTAAATTGTTACTAGGCTACTTCTCGAATGAAAACTTTTTACCCTTTAGCTAAAAAAGTAGTAACAATGACTTCTATTAACTTCATCGTATGGAATGACCGTTTCACTTTACTAAATAATGCAACATTGTTATACGCGATGCCATTGTTATTCATCCACTATTGCGGGAAACCTTGAAATACGTATATAATTCACGATACGTCCTGCGAACGTTTATGACGAGAATCTCGACAGCGCCGAGGTGTATAGTCTTTTTCAATACCGGATGCGTGTTGTGCTCGTGTTGACTTTATTCTCTTCATTCAACAGTTTAATGCATGCCCAGACAAGGACTTGATTTATAAAATTAAATATATAGGACGTTCGTATCGATTTACTGAAACTTGCAGTTTGCCGCCGACCATCAGAATAAATTTTAAAAACGGACCACATTGTGGAACCGGAGGAACTTTCGGTCCCAATGAAAAACCCAATTTGTTTATAAAAAGCATGGATAGAAAACAGGCCGTATTTTTTATACGATTTTTGGAATTTGTTTTTCTAAAAATAGAAGATCCTTTAGAAAATATTAAAATGAAAATCAAAATTATACCTTAAATAAGAAACAATTGCCTGCCTTATTTGGAGGAAGTATAACAAAAATTGTAAAATATTAAGAAATAGAAATATAATGATTAAGTAATACTTACATCGATCCTGTAACAAAACATTAAAGTATTACGTTGCTATCACGAAAATTGAATGAAAGCATCTATGTTCTTGCATTACAGGGTTTATTATGGACGGAGCACAAAGCATCGTCTTTTCAATACAACATTCATATAATTATCGTATTACACGTTCATACGCTTAACATTGGTAGTGTTCGTAAATCTGTTTAATAACCAGCTGTATCGCCGATTCTAACAAATTCGCGCACTTAATCGCTATTTTTGATTGCGTGAAAGAACTGTATGTAACGTCGCCCAATAAAAACTTTAATAGTACCGTGTATATAAGTATAAATGTTGAACAAACAAGAACATCGAACGTATGTGCCGAAAGCAACACTGCATACAAAAGTATTTAAACGTACAGAAAAAAATGTTTAACAATTATACTTCACGTACGTCACAATTAAATATTTAAACTCAAAGTACATGACATACATTAACTAAACATAGCCATTGTTTCCTTCAACTAAAACTATAGTTCGTTTGGTGAAACCTTATGCCAACGTTCATGCGTTACAATTAAAATTAAACATGAAGTAGAATGTCCAGGCAATATATTCCATCGTAATTTTCAAGATATTTCCGATATTCGATTAAGTACATATTTTTGTCGTTCAAATGTATATATTGCATAGCACAAAAATATTGGAATGTTTATGAACAAACACAAAAAAACAAAATCATTCTTGATTGTTTCAAGCATATCGAATTTGAAAAGAACACATTAATATCGCCCGGATATTTTACAAAATACTGAAAATTTTCTCAGATTTCAAAACACGTAATTTTAAAAATCTATTATTAAAGTAAGACTTTATAATTATCGATTCTTAAGATCAACACCGAACGCCTGAACACGGAATTTTTTTATGTGAAAGGAAAACGTTAATTAGAAAGTTTCTTCGGCGCATCGGGAAGCTAGAATAAAACTTTTTCAGTAACATCTTAATAGAATTTCCATCGATTGATGGAAAGAAAATAATACTTTTCGAAAGAGTTTAAGATGAATGGACAACGAATATATATGTAGATATCTCAGATATGTATAACACCTATTCCCGTATTAATTTGCATCAATACTATGAATAAACATTCAACGAACAATATTCTTTTTCAAACATATTTTTCACGTGAGAGTTTCATCTAATATTGATTACATCTTTTTTTGCCATGACGTATAGGAAAGATCAACGCGATCAGAACTTGCAAAAATATCTTGCTATAGGAATGATAATTAACAGGATCATGGACATCTTCGTAAACAACGTGATAATAATATTTCAGTGAAACCGACATCCTCAGTAATCTCTAATCTAGAAAACGATCCAATGAAACGTTCCCGCAATCATTTGACAAATGCTTTAATAATTGACTTTCCACAAATGAAAGTGCCTCAAAGCAGAGCAACAAGAAAAACTTGTTCAACCAAATAGAATTAATTCGTACCAGTCTCTTTGTCGGAGCATAATTACCATTGGGCGTATGCTCAGATTTCAGTTTTTACAGTCACGTATATCCAAAATCTGATAACTATTCTCATATTTTTTATGGTTAAATGCATGACGTAAATAAACTATAAACTTATTAATTTTTTAATTTGTAAGATAATAGAACTGTAACACGAATACTAAAATATTATTAGTTATTGCAGTTACGACCATTTTGAATCGTCAACCATTTTGCGCAATGTACAATTGCATGAAAATCTATTAACTTACAAATTAGAAGTTTGGATACGTTCGAACTAATTACTTAAAACATATGCGTTTATGAAGGACTTGCGATGTAATTGGATTCTAGACATTGCATTACCTTACATTGTCAAACATGCGAAACGTTTTACAGAAATGTATTCACATTTAAATAAATACTGTTTTCCCTCTTTCAAATCGAACAATTTTCAAGCAACAATTAAAGGCGAATAAACGAGACAATGTAAAATAATATGTAAATACGTAAGACAATATTTATGTGTCTTTATGTAATACTAAAATTGTGCACTTAAATAAAACATTTAATTGCAATAGTCTTTTAAAAGTTTCTGCATACCTGTTTCTATTTATATATAATTAGTATGACATTAATAGATTGATAATATTGAAGAAAACTATAAGATAGTACAATTAATTTTTATTTAAAAATAGATAGTATTATCATAAAATGAAAAGATAATTATTTGACTGTAAAATTATAATTGCTTCTTGGAAACTTCGACTTTCTTACCTGTGTAATTTGCTTAATTGTAGCTTAATAAAATTAAATCAACAATTATATATCTGTTAACAAGAATCTTCTGTTGTTAACAATGATTTTTATGTAGTATTTCTTATAATTGAATCGTTTAATTATTGTCCAAGGTAGATTGAGAAATGGAATAATTAAAGTTTTAATTAATTTTCTAGCATTTCAACTGTTATATTCATAGACTGAATTTCATCACTTGAACATATTTTTATCTGAGGAATTTGATACAATTCTTTAAATTTGAAGAAAAGTTTTCAAGTGAAAATTATTGATTATTTTTTACATAAGACACAAAAATATAATTACTGATTAAAAAATTAGAAAAGTGTACACAGTTTTAAAATGCATGTGCATAGTTTGGTTTCGAAAAGTGATTAGATATAACTCAATATCCTACGAGCACCTTATAAAAAATATGCACATAATATCAAGTCATGTAGAACTGCTATTATTTCAACAGGAAAAATTAATGATACTGAAGAAGCAGTTATAATTATCTATGATAATATTGTACTCGTTTATTATAAGTATTAATTTAATTTAAAAAATTAAGTCTGATTAATTAAGATGTCTTCAGCACTATACTCTTAAATGTAGTAGTAAACATAGTATATGGTAAATACAATTCTGGAATGTTGGATGATCATTGTAAGTCCACTTACTTTAAGTGTGACAAATTGTCTAGAAAATATTATCCCAAACCATGGTCCTCAAAGAATCCTTGTGGAGTCTCATCCTGAAACACATAATTAGTGTTTTTAAATTAAAATTTATGTAAAAAGATATATTTAAGTATATATGAAGAGGGATCAATTTCTTTGATGCTGCACTTTATCATATAATGCAAGAATACAGTAATGAAAATATATAAGTATACACATACCTACTTTGCAATTAAGTAATCTTCTTGATGCAGCTTCAAATGGTGAACTGAACCCTTTTCATATAACAGTATATACTTGTATGGATACACAAAGCTGCACAAAGCACATATTTATTTATTGCCTCGTTTGAAATGCTTAAGCATCATTCAAAAGAAATGTCTGTGTTGCATGCTATGCACAGAATATTTCTGTGCTTACGGTTAAACGGATGTGCATATCATAAACTTGACCAATTTTAATGAAATACCTTCCTAACAAATAATAACGATCCTAGTAGCACTTTTAAAGAAGGAAAAATAGTTGAAAAAGTACCTTAATAAAACCTGAAAGTACAGATATTATACAAGTAAATACATAAATTGGATTAATTACATGGAAAAGGTGATATACAATTATTCCGTGTACAGTTGTATAAAAATTCCATTGTATACTTTTATTATGGATATTAATTTATACTGTGTTAGAATTGTGACATTAAAAATTGACACTGCTTATGTATATACACATACACACGTACAGATGTGATATCTCCAAGGTTTCATCTAATGAAATATCAGAATAAATATTTTCAAGTACACAAATATAGAGTACTATACAAAATGTGAGAAAATAATTTCTTATATAATTAAATATATGTAAACACTATCTAATAATTTCTGTGTGTTGTACCCACATATAATTTATGGCCGTTTAAATACAATTAACTTTATTGCCATAATATGGGACTAAACTACATTGTTGACTAATTTCTGCTAAATGATAAAATAAGAAATAATCTTGTTACTAACAACGCTTCTATGAGCTAATATATATATATATTTATATATATGCATATATATTACTCTTTTTGTATGTGCCATAATATTTGCCTATATAAAAATATATGGGTTTATATACTAGATTTGTAAGGGTTGTCAATGGTAAGTAAAAAACTGATGTTCAATAACTATAGAAAAAGTAGAGATGTATGATGGCATCATGCAGCGGGTGAACTTGATCCAAATCTTGATTCATGTGGGTTGTCGCATTGGCCATGAAGGGCATGCAAGAATGCAGCACCTACAAAAGCCCTATCTCCCGCAGAGCACCTTCCACAGCTTCATCCTTCCACAAACAAACAAATATTCTAGCTAATCTTTAGTGTATTTCTGGATATGTCCTTAGTTATGGAACAATAATGTTGATCTAAATCTTATTACCGATTTTACAGCATCGAATATATTACACAATAGTGTTATATTCTATAAATTAAAAACTGCATTAAAAATTTATTATACAAAATACCTTGTAGTTCTGCATTAACTGTTACTAAAACAAAATTAAATAAAAAAGAAGTAACAGTAAATATCGCGCTTACACGTTTTAAAAAAGAAATAAATATATCTTCACTTTCTTAACAAATAAAAATAGAAATAAGAATTTTTTTCTACATACATTTGTGTACAAAATGAACAAGTAATCATACAATATTTCATTAAATTTCAAGCAATTAGTAGAACTTTTATATTAGAATATATGCTCATAATACGATTAAAATCATAATTATTGTCAAGGACCTAGGCAATTTTTTAATTTTGTTTTATGTAAAAACTGAAAAAAATCGCGGCGTATACAATATAAATGCAGAGTACAAATATATAAAACTAAACAAAACACTTGCCTTAAGTATTGAGTATGTATCGAGTATAAGCTAAATATATTTTCTATTTCTAATCTTTTATCTAAGTATATTATCTAAATGAAATTATAGTATGACTAAATGTATACAATAATTGATTACATTTAAAATATGACCTTGGTTTAATGTAAAAATGCTTATAACTAAATGTATTCCTTGGTTTTTCAGATTATATTTAGAATAATATCCTGAATGTTCATTAAAATATAACTTTCATGCGATTAAACTATGTATCAAAAATAGAAACGTACATAGGCACTTATTAATACTATTCAAAATTACTGTGTGGATTATGATCAATAACATTATATAAAATTATACCATCAATATAATTGATAATGATTAATATTTATTATAACTTGAAAATATATACATACATTTCAACAACTAACTATAAACAACAGCATTTCCATAGCATTATATATTTTTTTCATATAATAGCATGATAATACCACTGAAAGTAGACAAGCATTTAAATTGCTTTCCTATGCATTAAAAGAAAAATAAATTTAACTTATTTCCTTCGCAAAGAAACTGAAATACATTTTCAGCATTAGAAAATGTTATTATATAGTGATACTAAAAATAGAAATAAATAAGAATTTTCAGGGACTAGATATAATTAATTATAAACATTTT